GTTACCACAGAGGCTTGGATTCGGGCGTATATGTGGTCTCGGTGGGCAGAGGTCCAAAGACTGGGTGTGCTGTCATTAATAGAGGGAGGTGGGTGTGGCTGAGGTTAGAAACAGTGCAGCTTTGGTGATTCAGCCGCGAGGCCCTGTCTGTGGTTCCTGGTGACCACGTGTGTCCCTTCACAGTGTCGGTAGGAAGCGGGCCGCTTAGCAATCGGCAGTTGAAACAATACTCGAGGGACTTGGGGTATGGATATCCCAGACAACTGAGAGATAGAACAAATGAGTTTAGAGGCAGGCACCCACAGAAGTCTGGTGCCAGGACTCCAGGCTCCCGGGGCGCTCCCATCTGCCCATCTCAGAACCAAGGGCCAAACTCTCCCGCCTGCTCCACCCATTCAGGCGCATGCAGCACCACGCATCTGAATGGCTCTCGGGTCTCAGAGCTCCCCCTTAGCACCTGAGGTTAAGCAATCGAGGGAGCAGCCCAGGGACCTCACCCTCAGCAGGGACACTGCTGCAGTCTGGTTTTCTCAACCTAAAAGGAGTCTTTCAAAGAGCCTCCCAGAGAGGGGGAAAAAAGAAGGTCGCCCACTCTGGAAGGACACAGTCGGGTGCCGGGAGAGGAGTAGGAGTCGTGGCCACCACGGACCCCACTGTAACAGGGAAGGGCAGCAAGGTGGCCCCAGCTGCTGGGCCTACGCTGTGACCTGAGCCAGGGTTCTCAGAGTCTAAGGCCAAGGGCTCTCTAGTTTGCTAAGGTCTTTCCAGTTCCCTACTGGTCAAAAATGCAATTTAAAATAGATAATTATATACCAATAGTCAATTTGAAGAAGAAAAAAAAACTAAGTATATGAAGTTTTAGGGGTTCTGGTTATTTTGCATTTTAAAGGGCCTTTGTAAATTATCTAATCTCTCCTTAATGGGTTCCCTAGGGTAGAAGGTTTCATCTCATGGTAGAGTGCTTGCCTGGCAACTACAAAGCCCTCAGTTCAGTCCCCAGCACCAACATGTGAAATAAAATAAGAATGGGTCTCCCGATACTGACTGTGCAGCGAGACTTCAAGACTCAGCCAGCTCAACGGGAGACGGGCAGCGTTGGCAGGCTCTTCAGGGTGTTAGCTGGCCGAGGCGGAGCATGAGGCAGATAAGCAGCCATGGCCAAGACAGATGTTTCTCCATTGATAAACAACAAGAGTTAGATCCCCCTTGTCCCACTCACCATGTAACAAAACCAGAGACCCTGAGCCCTCCTCCTCTTCGCCTTTCCTCCTCTCTTTCTTCCCCGCCAGAAAAATCGCAGCGCCTGCTTTCTACTTTGTTTCCTGGGGAAATGGCAGCTGGGAGTTGGGAATGGATGTCTCGCGCAAACCCTTTAGAAGCCAAATGGGCATCATTTAACCTCTGCTGCCTTCAAAGAAAGGATCTGAGATGGCTTAAGAGATTGTGTATGAGAAGTAGCAGTCACTAAGGAGAAGAATGGGGCGCTCGCTGGTAGAGAGAGTAAGGAGGGAGCAAACACATCTCTGAGGAAGCTTGGACGCGGTCAGATCTGGCCTTCAGGCAGGGTGGGTGGGCTGGCCTGGGCGTGGCAGATGGCCCACCCGCAAAGCACCAAAGCACAGGCCTGGGGCCATCCTGGCTCAGCTCCATGCTGAGTTTTTATTGGATTTAAACTGTGGGTTTTTATTGGGTTTAAGGTTTTCACTTTCTTCGTTCATAGGAAAGGCGCTCAAGAGTTGGAGTGAAGTTCAGAGTAAGGTTTGGAACTCATCCTTCTAATCACTGTAGCCCTTCCCCCAGCTTCCCACTTTCCTCCTCCTTCCCAGAAGTCTCTTCAGTGGGAAACTTGGTCCCTTTTCCCTCTGGGTTTCATTCACCCAGTTGCCAGAAACTAGTACTGAAAAGCCTTTCTTTTGTTTTTCTTTTTTCTTCTCTCTCTCACTCTCTCTCTCTCTCTCTCTCTCTCTCTCTCTCAGGCAGGGTTTCTCTGTAACAATCCTGTCTGGCCTGGAACTCACTTTGTAGACCAGCAGGCTGGCCTTGAACTCACTGAGATCTGCCTGCCTCTGCCTCCCAAATGCTGGGATTAAAGGCTTGTGCCACCACCATCCAGAGACCAAAAAAGCTTTAAGAAATGGATTATGGGATTGGAGAGATGTCCCAGAAGTTAAAAACACTTGCTACACTTATAGAAGACCCAGGTTCACTTCCCAACACCCATGTGGTGGCTCACAAGAGTGGGTAACTCTAGTTCCAGAGAATCTAATCCCCTCTGTCCTCTGTGGCCACCAGGAACTTACAAAGTGTACACACAGGCATGCACAGAAACACTCAGACATAAAAGTAAATAAACCCTGGGAAGGAAGGAAGGGCTTGGTACAACAGAGGGCCTCCTCGTGGGAGAGGGGAAAGCAATGATTGTATGTGTGTGGAATGTATTTATATATAATAATGACAAATCACACACACACAATGCTTGCAGAGGGAGAGGCTTGAGCAAGGGAGTGTTGACACAGAAGAGGCACTGGCCAGTCACTACGCCATCTGTACAGAGAAGTGGACCCAGCTGGGCCCGGCAGGTGAACGCAAGGCTACCCGGTAGTTAAGGAGGGCATGGTGAGCGAGGGGGTGTGGTCAAAGGCAGGATTTGGGAGGGGATGAGCACGGTGTGTGCAGGAGCTGAATTTGGAGGCGTGGACAAGAGAGTGAGGGGCCGGTAGGATGGGGATGTTGTCCGGTGGCTTTGGGAAGTTAGGGAAGGGGGCGTCCCTCATCGCAGTGAGGGGCTTTGATGAGAGCTGGTCATGAAGTAGCAACAAAAAAAAAAAAAAGTTATGGTTGGGGGTCAGCACAACAGGAGGGACTGTATTCAAGGATCTCAGCGCTAGGAAGGCTGAGAGGCACCTTCAGACTCAAGTGCCCAGGTGCCTGGCTATTTCTACAGGGGAATGGGGGGGGGGGCTGGCTCAAGTGCTCTGTTTCACAGCAGCCTTGGCCTGGAATTGGTAGGGCTGTGTATTAGTTGTGCAGAGCCCCACCCTTAGCTCCATAGATGCGGACCCGGGTAAGAGGGGGGGGGAGTGGGAGGGGTGGGGAGGGCCCATGGTCCACTGGAATGTTCAAGCAGTTTATTTCCCTGATGGTTTGTGACGTGGAAGCCTTCAAGAAAGAACTTAGGAGCCAAGTACAAATGCTTTGTCTGCATCCATTTGAAACATCTGCAAATCTTCTGATTTCGACATAATCAATTGTATTTTAATCAACTATATTTCACTTACTTGATACAAAGGGAATGAGGGCACCCGCCATCTCGTTACATTCTTTCTTGTTTATTTGGCTTGGTTGTTGTTGTTGTTGTGTTTTTGTTTTTGTTTTGAGGCATGGTATCTTAGCCCAGGGCAGGCCTCAGACTCTGCAGTCAGTCGAGGCTGGCCTTGAGTCCCTGAACCTCCTGTCTCCACCCCACCCCCCAACCCTGACATTCCAGGTGCATTCCAGGTTTCGTTGTGAAAAGGTGCGTGGTGCCAACAGAAATGCCTTACATCTGCACAGAGCTTTACTGTGTACATAAACCATTCCTACATCTCTTACAGTCCATACATACCAGCACCCAGAAGGGACCAGGGCAGCCCACTTTGCCTCCCACACAGGAGGATATAAGGGGTTGAGGGTGAGTGGCCGTCCTAATCACGTCAAAGTGAAGGCAGCCAGACTCCGCCCTCAGGCCACGCTCCCTCCTCTGCACCTCTGGGAGAAGCTCTTCAGTAAGGGGACAGACAGAGCCACCCTGTGCACTGGACGCCAGCAATGCCACCCACACACCCCGTTACCCCTTCCCATCTCCCAATGATCTAGACAGCCAGTCAGTACCACCCCACCCCGAGGTGGCGGTGCCGGGGGGGGGGTGAACGAGGAAGCCAGCCAGGCTGGAGTAGGGGGACTGGGTGACTTGCTGTGAGTCCCATGGGGAAAGATCACACTGACAAGCAAAAATCACTAGACAAGATATAATCACCATTACACATTTCCCAGGTTGCTCTCTTCTTGACCCTCAGAAAAAAGCTGAAAGCAAAAAGCTCTCTTGAAAAAGACTTTTAACAAAATGCGCTAAATTTGTTAAGAACTCAGTATTTGCCTCCGAATAAAATGAGTCTAAAAGTCTTACATAACTATTGGCTCCGCCACTTTTCAGTGTCATGCAGAAGGGTTTTCAGTGGAAGCTGGAGCTGGGTGTAGGGACACACACCCGTAATCTCGGGCAGGAGGGTCAGAAGTTAAGGTCAGCCACAGCTACAGAGCAAGTGCGAGCTACCCAGGTCAGCCTGGGCTACACGGGATCCTGTCTCAAAGCAACCATCAGGGGCAACAACAGGGGCTGGTGACAGGGCTCAGTGGGTAAAGGCACTTGCCAGCAAGCCTGAGGCCGGGAATCCTGACCCTGGACCTCACAGGGCAGAAACAGAGCTGACTCCCACAGCTGCTCTCAGACTTCTGCACGGGCTATAGGTCATGTGCATACCCCTCCCCACAGGGTATGCACACACACACACACACACACACACACACACACACACAATAAATACATAATAAATAAATAAATGTAATAAAGATTAAAAAAAAAAAAAAAAAGGATTTGGAGTGGGAAGGTTCTAATACGCAGTGTTGTCCTGTCCGAAAGAGTCAGTCAAAGACAAGATGGTACTGTTTAACTCTGGGGGGTCTGGTAAACTATTTTACTTAAAAACATTAATATTCCATCTACATGTAGCCCGGGGCTGGCCTTAAACTTGTAACCCTTGTGTCTCATCTCCCTTGTGCTGAGATTATAGTCATGCCCCCACACCAGGTAGTCCTCCCTTGTTCTCGGTTGAACTGACTTACATCCCTACTCCCCACCCCCCCATCCCACCCCCAGAGGGCACCAGGAGGCTTGGGGTTTCCTAGTGGCCTTACCCTGCTTTTAAGCTTTAAGAAAATGACGCGAGCACACGTTCTCCTAGACAACTGCGACTTTGAGAAACTTGGCCGACTCACCGCTGACGAGAAGCAAGCTCCTGCACACCGGGGCCTTCCCCCTGCTCTGCTCAGTGACGGGGCAGTACATGGATGACAAGGACGTCTGTACCAATGTTGCCAGAATCTTTAGGTATGTACACTAAGACGGCGAAGACGCCTCGTTAAAAATGCTGCACTTGTTCGTTCCTGTAACCCCAGTATAAAGCCAGGTCGCCAAGGAAGAGGAAATGTCCAGTGAGGAATGGCCTCCACCAGACCGGCCTGTGGGCATGTCTTGATTAATGTGGGGTGGCTTGGCTGACTGTGGGAAGCACACCTGGGCAGGTAGGCCCGGACTATGTAAAAGGTAGACTGAGCAAGCTATGGGAGGCACGCACTAAACTGCGCCCGCCCCCCCAAGGTCTCTGCCTCAGTTCCTGCCTCCACGTTCCAGCTTGAGTTCCCACCCAGACGTCTGTTCCCTCAGCGATGGACTGTGATGGATGAGCCAGACAAGTCCCTTTCCTACCCCAAGTTGGTTTTAGTCAGTGTGGGACTCTTTTCCCCTTTTAAGTTCGCCTACAGACAGCTAACTTTGTGAATATAATTTAAAATACCCAATCCAAGCTGATTTCTTTTGCAAGCGTAATGCAGCTCCCAGGGTGTTGCCAGTCACCTAGCTCCTAGAAAGGCTGTGAGCTAAGCCTAATGTGTGTAATTACTCTGCTCGAATGTCTGCTTCGCCCCTTGGAGATAAAGAACGGTGGACCACAGAACATATCACAACGTTTGATGTACCGGGAATAGCACTACACTCAAGCGCTTTATCTCAAAAAGGAGATCGCTGATTCAAGTCTGATCTGGTTTAATTTGTAATCATTAGTTTTGAAAGGTCTCTGATGGGGATTAAAGGTAGATTGCTGGAGTATGGAGTTCGTTGGAAGATATTAATGCCGTAGAAAGACAGACAGACAGCATGGTGGGTGTAGTTTTACTCTTTGGAGGGGACCCACCACTCAGCTCCCAAGTAAATATACGGAGACTTGTTCTTACTTGATGCCTGGCCTTAGCTTGGCTTGTTTCTAGCCAGCTCTTCTAACCTGAATTACCCCAGTTCTCTCTAACTACGCTTTGCCCCTGGGCTTTTTACCTTTCTTTATATGATTTTCTTTCCTACCACCTCCATGGCTGGCTGGGAGGCTGGGTCTCTAGCGCCTGGCATCTTCCCCTCCTCCGTCTCCTTTTCTTGTCCCTTCCTTTTTATTCTCTGTCCGCCAGACCCACTATTTCCCTCTCCTGCCTCACTATTGGCCACTCAGCTCTTTATTAGACCAATCACCTGTTTTCAACTTTACAGAATTAACCAAATGCAACATAAAAGAATGTGGCGCACCTTTGCATCACTAAAACGAAGGTTCTACAATGTAAACAAATGTAGCACATCTTAAACTAATATTCCACAATAGAGGTGAGGCCTCAGAAGACAGGGATAAGAACCGGCATGGCACCGGAAGCCAGTCAGGCGCTCAGGTTCTGGGGCAGGAGTCAGGGAAGGAGTAGGGTAAGTGTGCAGTACCCCCTTTGGATGTAAACTCACTTCTCCAGGTGAAAAGCTCAGAAACCTAGAAGCCCGCAAGGTAGAGATGTTGACAGTGTTCAGTGGTGCTGTGGGTATGGGCCAGAGGGCAAAGCTGTTGCTGTTTGCCTGCAGGCCAGAAGAGGGCGCCAGCTCTCGTTACAGATGGCTGTGAGCCACCATGCTGTTGCTGGGAATTGAACTCAGGACCTCTGGAGGAGTAGCCAGTGCTCTTACCCTCTGAGCCTTCTCTCCAGCCCCTGGGCTGCTCGATTCTAACAGTGTATCCTCAGAATTTTCTGTCAGTTGTTTGGACTTGGGCTCGCACATGCACTAATCACGTTTGATGATCATTTGAATCTAGGTTGTTTGAAAGTATCTAGACGTTGATCAGTTTCAGAAATGCCTTTAAAATGTGCATTTACGTTTTTCCTTCTGTGTGCTTGGCCACCAGCCTTACAAGAAGGTTCCCCACTCCCGTCTACCTCTCGCTCTGAGGCTGGGTCATACTTTGTAGATCAAAATCCAGTTGTCTCACCTCAGCCTCCTAAGAGCTAAGATTACAGGTATGTGCCGCCTCGCCTGGCTTTTTAAAAATGATCCTTGAGACAATTCAACAAATATCTCCATAAAGATTTCACATCCTTTCAAGATTTATTCCCAGGCCCTTATGGAAAAGCTACTTCCTCATAGGCTATCCTGATGATTGTAAATATAATCAATATTTACCTATTAATTTTATAGTCAGGAATCTGGTTTATATTATCTAAGCTAATTGTCTGCAAATGAGAATGATTATTTTGTTTTTGCCAAAATAATGCAATTTTCCCTCCATCTCTTTTAAATTTTTCATCAATTAATTAATATGTTGAGATAGTCTCAGCCCATAGTGCAGGCTGTTCTTGAACTCTGGGTAACCCTGCCTCAGCCTCCCAAGTGTTTGGATTCTAAGTCTGAGCCATGACTAGCTCCCAACTTTTCTTTACCACATTGCCTAGGACTCTAATACAAGCCTGGCGGGAGCTGGCTGTCTCCTTCCTGTCTTTAGGGAATTATATTAGGATCTCACCAGCTAAGAATAGTTGTTATAGGCCCCCCCTCACCTCACTTTGGAGACAAAAATCCCAATACATAGACCAGACTGGCCTCTAACTCACAGGTGTCTATGTCCCTCTGCCTCCAGAGTGCTGGGATTGAAGATGTGCACGATTATGCCTGGCTTCTTAGATGCCACTTGAATGCCATAATAAAAAATTATCTGGCATTAAACCTAGTTGTAATTCATATACTTGCTTGGGATCCATTGATGATATGCATTAATTTTTCAGTCCATTAATGTAGTAAATTGCATTAGTGTGCGCGTGTGTGCGCGCACACGCGCATGCACATGGTGTAGTAATTGTGGAGTCAGAAGATAATCTCAAGGGTTGGCTCTGGTGTTGATTCTCATCTTGGACCTTGTTCGAGCCAGGCTCTCTCTTGTTTACTTCTCTACCGCCCATCCCCCATAGGAGTGCTGGGCTTACAGGCAGGCGGGTGCTCTGTTGCCCCTGGCTTCCATGTGGGGATCTGAACTCAGGTCTTCAGGCCTTTGGGGCAAGTGCTCTATCTGAGCAATCTCTCCAGTCCCTAGGTTTTCTTGTGGTAAGATGTCGTGCGCTATTCCAGACCTTTCTGAATGGCCAGTAAGTTACGCTGAAGGTCGCTTTTCCTTGTCATATTGTTTCTGTGTCTTCGGTTTTGAATTTATAGCACCGTCATACAATGAGTAGGAAAGTATAATCAAAGTGTGTGCGGACAGTGACTACTGGTTAAAGTACTAACAACCCCTTCTTTCCTCCTCCCCTCTCCCCCTCCCCCCTCTCCCCCCTCTCTCTTTCACCCCTCCCTCCCCCTCCCTCCCCCTCTCTCTGTCTCTCTCTCTCTTTCTCTCTCTCATCTCATCATATTGCCAGGCTAATTCCAAACTGCTGAACTCAGATGGTCCTCCTCCTTCTGTCTCCCAAGTAGACACGGCTACAGGGACTTGCCACTGTGGCTAGCTAATTCACCTATTTAAAGATTGCATATGCTGTCATGGTTTCCACTCGGTTCAGCTTCAGACGGCTTTTTGTTTTTTTAATGAGGATTTTTCCATTTTCCCCTAAGTTTTCAAGCTCAGGCAGAAAGCTGGCAGTTGTCTGAGACCAGCTTGGAGTATATAATAAGGTCCTGCTTCAGTGAATAAATAAATAAATAGATACAGTGTGTACCTCTGTTCTTGCCTGGCATGGAGAGGCCCCAGGTTCGGTTTCTAGTACATCAATAAATCTGTTTGTTTTAATTAGCTTTGTTGCTAATGATACAGTTTTATTTATTTTACTTGTTTGCAACTACATAAGGTACTTGCTGTATGCTGGACAATCCTCTAAGTACTCTCCAAGAACTAATCAAATAAATGTCATTATTGTCACCGTCATCCAATGTAGGAGGAACCTGAGGCACAGAGAAATAAATGCACCTGTTTTCCTGACATCATGCAACCATAGGTCACAGAGCTGCAGGTCACCTGACATCATACAGTCCATAGGTCACAGAGGTGCAGGTCATATGACATCATACAGTCCATAGGTCACAGAGCTGCAGGTCACCTGACATCATGCAACCATAGGTCACAGAGCTGCAGGTCATATGACATCATACAGTCCATAGGTCACAGAGCTGCAGGTCACCTGACATCATACAGTCCATAGGTCACAGAGCTGCAGGTCACATGACATCATGCAACCATAGGTCACAGAGCTGCAGGTCACCTGACATCATGCAACCATAGGTCACAGAGCTGCAGGTCATATGACATCATACAGTCCATAGGTCACAGAGCTGCAGGTCACCTGACATCATACAGTCCATAGGTCACAGAGCTGCAGGTCACCTGACATCATACAGTCCATAGGTCACAGAGCTGCAGGTCACATGACATCATGCAACCATAGGTCACAGAGCTGCAGGTCACCTGACATCATGCAACCATAGGTCACAGAGCTGCAGGTCATATGACATCATACAGTCCATAGGTCACAGAGCTGCAGGTCACCTGACATCATACAGTCCATAGGTCACAGAGCTGCAGGTCACATGACATCATGCAACCATAGGTCACAGAGCTGCAGGTCACCTGACATCATGCAACCATAGGTCACAGAGCTGCAGGTCATATGACATCATACAGTCCATAGGTCACAGAGCTGCAGGTCACCTGACATCATACAGTCCATAGGTCACAGAGCTGCAGGTCACCTGACATCATACAGTCCATAGGTCACAGAGCTGCAGGTCACATGACATCATGCAACCATAGGTCACAGAGCTGCAGGTCACCTGACATCATGCAACCATAGGTCACAGAGCTGCAGGTCATATGACATCATACAGTCCATAGGTCACAGAGCTGCAGGTCACCTGACATCATACAGTCCATAGGTCACAGAGCTGCAGGTCACATGACATCATGCAACCATAGGTCACAGAGCTGCAGGTCACCTGACATCATACAGTCCATAGGTCACAGAGCTGCAGGTCATATGACATCATACAGTCCATAGGTCACAGAGCTGCAGGTCATATGATATCATATAGTCCATAGGTCACAGAGCTGCAGGTCACATGACATCATGCAACCATAGGTCACAGAGCTGCAGGTCACATGACATCATGCAACCATAGGTCACAGAGCTGCAGTTCGAGTGAGGCATTTTTGACTGCAGAATTCACATTTTTTGTTTGTTTGTTTCTTCCTGTCGAGACAGGATTTCTCTGTGAAGCCCTGACTGTCCTAGAACTTGCTCTGTAGCCCAGGCTGGCCTTGAACTCAGACATCTGTCTGCTTCTGCTTCCTGAGTGCTGGGATTAAAGGCGTGTGCCACCACCACCTGGCTAGAATTCTCTCTTTTTACTCCCATATTATGTGGCCTCTTTGTTATTAAAATTGCTTTTCACGTTTGATTTTGGTTCTTTTTATTTTATTTTATTTTATTTATTTATTTATTTATTTTTTTTTTTTTGGTTTTTTTTAAATGTTTTTGATCGGTCTTGAGGAAGGTTTGATAGTCATTAGTTTTTTAGTATTTGAAAGATTTATTTTATGTATACTGTGAATGCCTGCATGTATGTATGTGCACCACGTGGGTGTCTGGTACCTCCCGGAAGTCAGAAAAAGCTGTTTCCTGTACAGGAGCTGGGGTTACAGGCTCAGCCACCATGTGGGCGCTGGGATCTGAGCCTGGGTCTCTTCAAGAATAGCAGTGCCCTTAACTGCTGAGTCATCTCTCCAGCCCCCAAACATTGGTCTTTGCAGAAAATTTTAACCCTTTCCTCCCCCAAAGTCTCTCTTGGTCATGGTGTTTATCATGGCCATAGGAGGCAAAGTAGGACGCTATACTGCCCCTTTTGGTAACCTGACCCAGGGGCTCATGCTTGCTAGACAAGCGTTTACCGCTGAGTGAAGCCCTCAACCCCACTAAAGGGGACTTAAAAAGTTCCCTCTGTCCTAGAGTCTAGAGCAGACAGCAAGCCTCTGTGTGTTTCCTCTGGACTTTGTAGACTAAACTTTATCTGTGTAATCTAACTGTAATCTTTGGACAATGAGTCAACCCATTTCTCTGAACTGAATGAGGTATTTCTGGACTTCCCTTCATGAGTTTGCATGCTCTGCATTGAGAGTTTTACTATGTGCACGTAAATGAAAAAAAAAAAAAAAAAAAAAAAAAAAAGGTTTATTCTTCTTTCCCCATTTGGCATTTCCCACAGCAAACTGACCTCTTACCGTGACTGCTGCTTGGCCCTGGCCAGCTATCCCAGATGCTACGCCTTGTTTCTGAGTCTCCTGAACAAACACCAGAAGGAACAGGTCAGTCGTGCATGGCTTTCTCCAGTGTCTTCCCTGTCTGTGCTGTGTTCAAGCCCAGGTTGAGTGAGTTTGTGTTTTTAACATATCAGTTCCTGCTAGAAGCTTCCGTCGGTGGAGACAGTGAACACCTGCAGGAGTCAAACAGAAAGTAATCTACTGCAGAATCTGTCTCCATGGTGTATGGTTGTTACTGGTGGTTCCTGATTTAGGGTTTGGACAGCAGGAATTTCCTTTGTCTTGGGAATTTACAGACTGCCTACATGAGTTGTCTTGGGGTGGGCATGAAGTGCGCCGGCTATTTCTGTAGAAGCCCCACTGAACTTCAGTCCAGGCTCATGGAATCATATGGGCAGAGCGAGGCCCGTCCGTCAGCATTTTTACAAGAACCATGGGGATTTAACACACAGGCAAAGCTTGGGACCTTGGCAGGCACCTTGAAGATCTTTTAGCCTTTAAATTCACTAATTCTTTGATCCTATTGTATTTTACAATGTGGGATTTCAAGATAAAGTGTTTGAGATTTATGTATGTATTGTGTATGTATGTATGTATGTATATGTTTGTATGTATGTGTGTATGTGTGAATGTATGTATGTGTATATGTATGTGTGTATGTATGTATGTTTGTGTGTATGTGTGTTTGTATGTATGTATGTGTGTATGTGTGTGTGTATGTGTGTATGCATGTGTGTGTATGACTGTGTACCACACACATGCAGGGACCCTAGGAAGCCAGAAGAGGCACTGGGTCCCCCGGAACTGGAGTTACACATCGTTGTGATATACCTGATATGGACCCTGGGAACTGAACCTGAGTCAGAGCAGCATGTGCTCTGCTGCCGAGGCGGCTCGCCCAGCCTCAAGATAAAGTATTGATGAAAGAACATAGCTTTAATGTGTAATACGATTTTTACATTCTAAAATTACATGTATTCACTTATTTATTATACATACACATGCGTGGAGTGAGGAAACAAATTGTAGCTGATTTCTTTTTCTACCAGATGGGACCCAGGAATTGAGATCAGATCATGTTTTGGCAGCAAGTTGCTTAACCCAACGAGTCTTCTCGCTAGGCTTATAGTTGTTTTCAGTTGATGAGCTTAGCCAAACACGGCACACGTCTGTATCCCTAGGACTTGAGAGGTGAGGGAGGAATATAAGTAGTTAAGAGGCCAACCTGGGCTACATGTAACTGTTCTAACAAAACAAGTGTTACAAATGACTTCTCTTTAATATATTTTTGTTACATGGCACAAATATTAACATTTTGACTATCTGTTAAATATAGTCTTCTTTTTTAAATTTTCTTATTTTACATATTGATCCCAGTTCCCCCTCCCTCCCTTCTTCCCTCCTATCCCATCCCCCCCCCACTCCACAGGGAGGGTGATGTCTTCCAGGAGGGCTCATCTAAATCTGTGAAGTCATTTGGAGTAGGGACTAGGACTTCTCTCCTGCCTCTAGGTTAAGGGAGTATCCCTCCATGGGGAACGTGCTCCCAAAGTCCTTTTGTGCACCAGGGATACATCCTGGTTCCACTCCAAGGTCCCTTAGACCCCATATTCAGGGGGTCTGAGTTAGTTCCAATGCTGGATTCCCAACTATCAGTCTGGGAGCCCATGAGCTCCTCCTTGTTCAGCTCAGCTGTCTCTGTGGGTTTCTGTAGCCTGGTCTTGTCCTCCCTCTCTGCATCTGGATTCCAGTTTGTCTCAGAGTTTATCTGTGGGTGTCTGCTTCTGTTTCCATCAGGTACTAGATGAGGGCTCCATGATGGTGGATAAGTTAGTCATCAATCTCATTATCAGGGAAGGGCATTTATGGCTTGCTCAAATTGTTAGTTGGGGTCAGTCTTGTAGGTCTCTGGACTTTCTCTAGGTTCAGTTTTCTTTTCAGACCTATAATAATGGCTCCCTCTTTTATGCTCTCTCTCTTCCACTCTCCTGTCTTCTATTCCTCCCCTGTCTCAATCTTCCTGGTCTCACATGCTCCTCTCCTCCCCTTCTCTTTCTCCTAACTCCCTCTCTACTCACTGCCCCTCCCCCACTCCCCATATGCTCAGAGGATCTTGTCCTTTTCCCCTTCTGTGAGGGACCTTGTGTGAATCTCTTAGAATCCTCCCTGTATCCTAGTTTCTCTGGCAGTATGAATTATAGGCTGGTGATCCTTTGCTCTATGTCTAAAATCCATATTTGAGTGAGTACATACCATGTTCCTCTTTTTGTGACTGGGTTACCTTCTTTTAATCACCCTTGTAAATGACTAAAGAGACATTTTTTCAAAACTCAGTATGTATTTATTTTGAACATTGGAAGTTTTTTGGGTTTTTGGTTTTTCCAGACAGGGTTTCTATGTGTAACAGTCCTGGCTGTCCTGGAACTTACTTTGTAGACCAGGCCGGCCTCACACTCTCCGAGATCTGCCTGCCTGTGTCTCCCTAGTATTGGGATTAAAGGTGTGCGCCACCAACGCCCTTCAAATGTGGCAAGTTCTTAACGGTCACTTGAGTCCCAGCAGCTCCAGGCCAGTAGCTGAGTCTCTTGTAGACCCGATTATATTCATCCAAAGCTTTGCCTCTGTGTCAGGCCCAGGCCACCTTAAAGCACGCACCCTATCAGCACCAAATGGAACTGAATTTAATTTTTCTAGCCAAGTACTTCTGTCGAAAAATGACTAAATTTGTCAGCTTACATTATTTCAGCCATTTACCATTGTGCTCTTAGTGATAGAGAAATTTCTGTCACTGCCTCAATTTGAAGACAAGACCTTGCTGAATTCTCACGTTAAAACCCGAAATACAAATATTTATTTATTTGCCTATGCACACACATTGTGGGGGATGTCACACACATATGAGAGAGATGGACAGAAGCCAGTGAAGCAGGAAACAGAGGGCAGCGGGCAGAGGCAGACGGAGCCTTGCTGTGTAGCCCAGGCTGGCCCAGAACTCCTGCCTCAGCCCCCCCCACACACACACCCCAAGCATGCCACCATGCGCTGCACTGAGTTCTCCCCTTCTATTTGAGCAACAAACCCTTCACATGCGTGCTTTGCTTTTCTATGAACTGTAGCCTTTCGAAGACTTCAGGATACGAGAATGTCTCACGTCAGATGTCATAGGGTTTTTATTGCTGTGAAGAGACACCATGACCATGGCAACTCTTATAAGGGAAACATTTAATGGAGTGTGGCTCGCTCACAGTTTCAGAGGTTCAGGCCATTATGACCATGATGGGTAGCATGGCTGTGTGCAGGCAGACGTGGTATTGGAACTGAGAGCATTATGTTATTTTTTTTTTCCAAGCAGCAGGAAGTCAACTGATAGCCACACTGAGGGAAGCTTGAGAAAGAGACCCCCAAAGCCCGCCCCCAGAGCAGCACACTTCCTCCCACAAGGCCACACCTCCGAACAGTGCCATTCCCTTGGGGGGCCATTTTCTCTCAGACCACCACTTCAGACAATACGTGAACGTGCTTTAAAGCATTCACAACTTGTCCACCAAAACTTTCCCAATTTAAATTTTATAAACTAAACTATCTTTGTGTTCTGACTGTAATCTTTGCACAGTGAATCAACCCAAGGATAAAACTTGTTATCTTGGATGTTTTTTTTTTTTTTTCTTTCCCCTTTGCATTTGGGGGAGGAGGAAAGGACTGTGTTTAAGTGCACTCCCACACGTGTGCCTGCAGGGGTCAGGGGTCATAGGTCAGTGCCGGGCATCCTGTCCTCTACTGCTGTCCACCTTGCGTTTTTGAGACCCGAGCTTTCGCAGAACCTGGAGCTCACTGATTGGCTAGGCTGGTTGCCAGCACAACCCCACCCCCACGTGTCCAGTGCTGGGACTAAAAGCGTGTGCCACCTCGTGCAGCTGTGTAAGCGGGTGCTGGGGACCTGAACCCGGGCTCTCGTTCTTGCGCAGCAAGCACGTCACCCACAGAGCCATCTCCTAAGCCCCGGGAGTTTCTTTTTTTAAGGAACAAGAAAAGATAGAAAACATAGTTTATTATAGCCTGCAAAGAAGTCTTTTTAGGTGTTATGCTCAAAGGGGGGTTTTTGCACTTTATCTTGGAATTGAATTTTATGGTCTCTGTAATTTTACTCTCCCATGGTTGTTATTTTTACTGTGTAAGAGGCTGCGGGAACCTGCCATGCGGCTTACCTCACAGTGTGCTGCCATCATTGTTATTTTTACTGCACAGGTTTTGGTCTTGGGTGACCCAGATGACTGAGCTGGAGAAGATCTCTTTCTGCCTTGTGTTAGGGTTTTCAGGGTCTGAGGACACGATGGCTCAGAAGAGAGCAGCTTTCTGCATCAGCACCAGAACTGGGCTTTTCCAGCACTGATGTAAGGGCCAGTGCCATGGTGTCCCCTGCGGTCCCAGTACCGGGCAGGCAGGGGCAGGCATCTCTAGGGTGAGTCTGGTTACCTAGACTTGCTAAATTGGTGAGCTCTGAGCTCAAGAGAGGGAACCAGCCTCAGTAAGAAGGTGAAGAGTCATTGAGGAAGATGGTGGATGTCACCCACTGACATTCACATGTATGCACACACGTGCATGGAGCCACACACTTGTGAACATGCACATACACACACTCACCACACATACATACCACACACATGACTCACACATACCATACACCGGTTAATTTAAGTTAAAAGAGCTAGCCAGAAAAGGGCTAAGCTAAGGATGAGCATTCAAAACTAGTAAGTCTCCATGTCACAACTGGGAGCTGGTTTGTGGCCCGAAAAGAAAAAGCCTGGCATACGCCCCCAGCGATGTACCTTCTCCAACAAGGCCACACCTCCCTCTCCTTCTGTCTGTTAGGGTTTCTATTGCTGTGAGGAAACACCATGACCACAGCAGCTCTTATAAAGGAAGACATTTAATTTCGGCGGCTTACATTTGCAGAGGTTCAGTCCATTATCTTCATGGCAGGATTTGGTGACCCTGCAGGCAGACGTGGTCTGGAGAAGGGGCTGAGAGTTTTTCATCGGGATCCA